CAAAAGAAAGAAAAGCACAAATATGGCTATATGTGCATTCCCATGCAGAAGAAAATTTGTAGCATATGATTGTTTACATTAAAAAGTTTCTTTGAGAAAAGTAAATGCATGGAGGCTTAAAACTATGAGGAAAAAACCCAAATCTTAATGTTTCAACTAGTATCAAAAATCATATTTGATGTTTATAACAGGATATTAGAGTCACACTCTTGATTTGATCTTTTCGCTGAGTCAGTGTAATGGCACCATGTATTTGTTTCATTTTCCAACCCTGCTGGTCCTGAGTTGCCTATATTCTCTCTAAATTATGCTTGCAAGCCAGTAAGCTCTTTTCTGTATTCATCTCTTTTAGTACTTTATCTAGTATAGCTCTTCAAAACCAATTTACATTTTGACTTGATCTGTTCTTTAAGTTCGTTAGGTACATTTTCTGCCTTGCAGATTATTTCTGGCAATGATTCCACAAAGTGTTTCTCCATTATATAGCATAGGTCATCATTTCCCAGTCTCTCATAAGTAGCTTCCTCATCATTTCTCTAGTGTCCTAGATTACTCCCCACCTACCATCTAGTCCCAGAGCAGAAGCCACATGTTTCAGGTTTTTGTTTTGGCAGCACCTCACTTTTGGTACTAATTTCTGTATTGGTTATTTTACTGTAATGAAACCATCCCCAAAACTTAGTGGCTTAAAAATAGCAGTTATGTATTCTCATTCGTGTAACTGGAGGTCAACTTGAGGTGGTGGAGGTGGGGAGTGGTTAGCCAGTTGATGCCATACTTTATGCTTTAAACTACAGATTAGGTAGAGATCTATTCCGTATTATTTCTCATTCTCCTTTGGCCAGTGGGCCAGTCTGGTCATATTCTTTTATTTATTTATTTATTTATTTATTTATTTAGAGATAGGGTCTTGCTCTGTTGTCCAGGCCAGAGAGCAGTGGTGCGATTATAGCTCACTGCAGCTTCATACTCCTGGGCTCAAGCAATTCTCCTGCCTCAGCCTCTTGAGTGTCTGGGACTATAGATGTGTGCCACCATGGCTTGCTGTTTTTTAAATTTTTTGTAGAGACAGGCTCTTGTTATGTTGCCAAGCTGGCCTTGAACTCTGTACCTCAAGTGATCCTCTCAACTCTGCCTCTCCAGTAGCTGGGATTACAGTTTTGAGCTACCACACCTGGCTTTCAGTTTTTCCCTTTAAATAAGCAATAGCAATGGTTCGTTCCTGAGTGGATAGTTCTCAAAGTTATTATTAACAGTCTCGTATCTTGATTTTGTGGTTATTTTAGATATATACCCTTTTTACTAAAGCAAATGTCTTTAGTCTTCATAATTCTTCAACCAATAATTATTCCAATAAGATTAACTTTTTTTTTTAAAGATGGAGTCTCACTCTGTCTCCCAGGCTGGAGTGCAGTGGCGTGATCTCGGCTCACTGCAACCTCCGCCTCCCGAGTTCAGGCAGTTCTCCTGCCTCAGCCTTCCGAGTAGCTGGAACTATAGGCGCATGCCACCACACCCAGCTAATTTTTGTATTTTTCAGTAGAGATGGGGTTTCACCATACGGCACGGAGTAGTGTCGAACTCCTGACCTCGTGATCTGCCTGCCTCGGCGTCCCAAAGTGCTGGGATTACAGGAATGAGCCACTGCGCCTGGCCAAGATTAACATTTTAATCAGAGTTAGAAACAAGCTTATTTTTTTTTTCTTCTATTATAAACTGTTGGTTAAATGCAATGTGGTATCTTGGATTGGATCCTGGAACACAGAAAGTACATAAGTAGAAAATCCAAATAAAGACTGGAGTTTGGTTAATAGTAGTGTATCATTGTTAATTGCTTGTTTGACAAATGTAGCATGATTATCTAAGATGTTCATTAACATTAGGGGAAATTGGGTGAAGGGTATATGGGAACTCCCTATGCTGTCTTTGCAACTTTTCTGTAAATTTAAAATTATTTCTTTTTTTTTTTTTTTTTTTTTTTTTTAAGACGGAGTCTCGCTCTGTCACCCAGGCTGGAGTGCAGTGGCCCGATCTCAGCTCAATGCAAGCTCCGCCTCCTGGGTTCACGCCATTCTCCTGCCTCAGCCTCGCGAGTAGCTGGGACTACAGGCGCCCGCCACCTCAACCGGCTAGTTTTTTGTATTTTTTTAGTAGAGACGGGGTTTCACCGTGTTAGCCAGGATGGTCTTGATCTCCTGACCTCGTGATCCGCCCGTCTCGGCCTCCCAAAGTGCTGAGATTACAGGCTTGAGCCACCGCGCCCGGCCTTAAAATTATTTCTTAATAAAACTTTATTAAATAAAAATAAAAATTACTGACGTGAGGAAATGTATAGTAATGACTGATTAATATATAGAATTTATAATTTATAAAAATTAAACTTTAATATAATTCAAGCAGAACAGAATGGTATTATAAATTAAAAAACCTTAAGGATTCCTGCTCATGTATCCAAGTCCCTTCCCCAGAAGTAACCAGGTTGGTTTTTTTTTTTTTTTAAACTTTGTTTTACTTCTGGTGGTTACTGTCATAATTCCAGAGATTTTTATACTGTCTCTGGGCCTTGATTTATCAACTTTCAACAATGTCACTGCTCTTTCTTTCTTTCTCTCTTTCTTTTTCTTTCTTTCTTTTTCTTTCCTTCCTTCCTTCCTTTCCTTCTTTCTTTCTTTCTTCCTTTTCTTTCCTTTTTCCTTTCCTTTTCCTTTTCCTTTTCCCCTTCCCTCTTCCCTCTTCCCTCTTCCCTCTTCCCTCTTCCCTCTTCCCTCTTCCTCTTTCCTTTCCTTCCCTTCCCTTCCCTACCCTTCCCTTCCCTTCCCTTTCCTTCCCTTCCCTTCCCTTTCCTTCCCTTTCCTTCCCTTTTTCCTTCCCTTTCCTTCCCTTTTTCCTTCCCTTCCCATCCCTTTCCGTCCCGTCCCGTCCCTTTCCGTCCCGTCCCGTCCCGTCCCGTCCCGTCCCGTCCCACAGAGTCTTGCTCTGTTGCCCAGGCTGGGAATGCAGTGGCACAATCTTGGCTCACTTCAGTTTCTGCCTCCTGGGTTCAAGCAATTCTCTTGCCTCAGCCTCCTGAGTAGCTGGGACTACAGGTGCCTGCCACCACGCCTGGCTAATTTTTGTGTATTTAGTAGAGGCAGGGTTTCGCCATGTTGGCCAGGCTGGTTTCAAACTCCTGACCTCAAGTTATTCTCCCGCCTCAGCCTCCCAAAGTGCTGGGATTACAGGAATGAGCCACCATTCCCAGCCATTGTCACTGCTTTCTTAACAAGAACAGTAAGTTTTTTTGTTGTTGTTGGTTTTTTTTTTTTAAGTTAAGTTTTTCTGTCAGTTATATTAATTTTTGTTTTATTTTTATTTACTTATTTATTTTATTTTTTTTGAGACAGAGTCTTACTCTGTCGCCCATGCTGGAATGCAGTGGTGCGATCTTAGCTCACTGCAGCCTCCACATCCTGGATTCAAGTGCCTCAGCCTCCCAAGTAGCTGGGATTACAGGCACCTGCCACCGCGCTTGGCTAATTTTTTGTATTTTTAGGGAGATGGAGGTTTCACCATTTTGGCCTTCCTGGTCTCGAACTCTTGGCCTCAAGTGATCCACCCACCTTCCAAGTGCTGGAATTATAGATGTGAGCCACTGTGCCCATCCTAAAAAAATTGTATTTCTATTAAAAGCATTTTTTAGACTAGTCACATGCAGTAGTGGAAAGGGGAAAGAGTAGAACAAGTTCTGTCTGCACTAACTGAACAGTCAATTGAGGTAACTCACTACCTTCAGACTAGCCTCTGTCAGTTACATTTGTAACTTGAATAACATGCTTAAATTTGTATTTCTTGTTCTATCAAGTTTAGACATTTTGTATCGACTCCATATGTATAAGATATAGAAATTCTTAGCTCTGTATTGCTTTTCACCTCTTTTCGACCATCTATTTTCCCACTTCTGTTAACTCTAGCATTACTTTTACTATAATTTTAATTCACTATGTTCTGCTTAACCAGAAGAAATTCAAGAGGGCTTATACATATATAAAACAGATTTTGAGTTGATTAATCATCATAGTTTAAAAAACTGGTTTTTAAAGATGAATTATTAAGATAAATGTGTGGAGAAGGAAGAAGAAGAGTTTATTCTTCTTAGTGTACAATCTTATCCTCTTATGGGCAATTTGACCCTTCTAAATTTTATCTTGGTGTCCTTGGGAACTTTTATTTTCCAACCTGTATACTCAGCCATACCTGAATTTCGTTAAGGTGTACTATTTTGCATATATTCTTGGTTCTAGGATGCTTTCAACTGTAAGACCCATTGTTGCTTTAAAGTAATGTTATTGGTTGGGAGGGGATTGCATTAAATGATTATTAGCCCCATTGAAAATTAATAAAGTGAGAAACATATTTGTATTTAGTTTCTTATATAGAGGGGAAAATAGGCAAAAATAAAAATTGAGTCACCATTAATTCTTTTGTCCGCCTTTATTTTCTTTATCCAAAGAAAACTTTTTTTCTTAAAGAAAAAAAAAAAAAGAGCTGGGTACAGTGGCCCATGCCTGTAGTCTCAGCTGCTTTGGAGGCTGAGGTTAGAGGATCCCTTGAGCCCAGGAGTTACGAGCCAGCCTGGGCAATGCAGTGAGACCCTCTCTCTTTCTCTAAAAAAGAAAAAGAAAAAAATTGACCCTACTATTTTGGTAGCCTATCCCTTTCCAATAAACCTACTCTTCTACTTTAACTTATTGTTGTGGCTATATAATAATTCTATGTGTGAATGTACCTAACTCATTTAACTGGTTCCTCTATTTGCAGCCTTTTCTACTATAAACAGTGTTGTAAAGAACTTTTCTTATAGCTAAGTCTTTGCTCATATCCATGATTTTTTTCCTTCTGATGAAGTAGAATTTCTGGGCAAAATAGAGTATGAATTTTTGCATACTTCCTAATAAAGAAAAACAAGTTAACATTTTTGGCCACTAGCCATCACTAAGATATAACTTTTTCTTGTTTTTTAGTGAACACTTGTCCTGCTCCTTCACCTTTTTCTTGCATGGAGACAGCAATGTTTGTACCAGTGTGGAAATTAACCAACATCAACCTGTATACCTTCTCAGTGAAGAGCATATCACCCTTGCTCAACAGTCTAATAGCCCATTTCAAGGTAGATTATTATATTAGGTATTTGATCTTTTATTGAAAGATCCTTATTGAACTTCATAATTTTACATTTGGGGATTGATGGAATTCCCCCGATCTTTAGCCTAATGATGATTTTGATGTCATTTACTTTCTTCTCCCCCATTAGAGTGTTGCTACATTTTTAAATACAGGTATTACCAATAATTCTTGACCGTGAATGGTGAAGTAGTTTAAAGTGTTCTTTTAGATAGCATATTGGATTTATATGTGTTAACGTTTTCAAGGTTATCTTGTGCGTCAGGTCATATAAGCCATGTTTTGTTTGTTGTTTGTTTTTGTTTTTCGACATGGAGTTTCGCTCTGTTGCCCAGGCTGGAGTGCAGTGGCATGATCTCGGTTCACTGCAACCTCCACTTCCCGGTTTCAAGCAATTCTGCCTCAGCCTCCTGCGTAGCTGGGATTGCAGGCGTGAGCCACCACGCTTGGCTAATGTTTGTATTTCTTAAGTAGAACTCGGTTTCATTGTGTTGGCCAGGCTGGTCTTGAACGCCTGACCTCAAGTGATCCACCTGCCTCGGCCTCCCAAAGTGCTGGGATTATAGGTGTGAGCCACCTTGCCTGGCCAAAGCCATGTGTAACATAGCTACAAACGGACTTTTGATACTATTTATACTATGAAAACAGTTGAATTCTAGAAGAAATATTTTATAAGCTTGCTGAATTGCTTTTAAGGCTTGGCAGTGTGTTCTTGTTTTAACTTTAAACCTAATATTTGCTTTTTAAAGTTTACATGGCAGTACATTATAAATATTTAGATTTATATATCTATATTGTTTTTCCTCAGATAGCTTTTTCTTAGAATGCTTTTTCTCAGTGGGAGTCAAAGTAAATTGAAGGATACACAAATATTCCCAGCTTCTGTTAAAATTCTTAAGTGTTTGGGCAGACAATTTTTTTTCTTTTTTCTTTTTTTTTTTGAGATGAAGTCTCCCTCTGTTGCCCAGGCTAGAGTGCAGTGGTGCCATCTTGGCTCACTGCAGCCTCTGCCTCCCCAGTTCAAGCAATTCTCCTGCCTCAGCCTCCTGAGTAGCTGGGATTGCAAGCATGTGCCACCACACCCAGCTAATTTTTTTGTATTTCATTAGAGACAGGGTTTCACCACGTTGACCAGGCTGGTCTTGAACTCCTGACCTCAGGTGATCCGCCCGCCTCAGCCTCCCAAAATGCTGGGATTACAGGCGTGAACCACTGCGCCCAGCCTGGGCAGACAAATTTTTAACAGTTTATGTAATAAACTCAGTGTTGTACTTTATCTTCACAATAACGAAGTATAATAAATTGATTTTTCTCTGGAATGGTTATTATTGGTTTCCTTTTCTTTTTTATAACTGCACGATCACTTGCCACATTGTTCACTGTGTTCTTATTTGGTAAAACAGTCTTTAGTTACTTATTTGATGTCTGCTTTGGGTTTCTAGTTATCTTATGCCCATTTGGACTAAATGGCACTCTCACAGGACAGGCATTCAAGATGTCTGATTCAGCTACAAAAAAATTAATTGGTGAATGGAAACAGTTCTATCCTATCTCATGTTGCTTGAAGGAGATGTCTGAAGAAAAGCAGGAAGATATGGATTGGGAAGATGATTCTTTAGCTGCAGTAGAAGTTCTTGTTGGTATGTATGCTGAGTATTATTCCTAAGGGGAAAACGCATGATTGTATGTATTAGTTATATTTTGCTCAATAACAAGTCTAATAACTCAGTGGCTTTCAACACCAAAGATTTATTTCTTATTTCTTGCCCACATTACTTAAGGGCTGCATCTTAGCTGTGGCTTGGCTCCATGTATCTGCTCATTCTGTAACCTAGGTTAAATGAGTATCCCAGTAGCTAGGACATACTGTTCTTACGAGAACAGAAGAATAATAGGGACTGAACCAAACCATGTAAGTGTACTCAAAGCTTCTGCTGGGATATGGTATATGTTGCATCTGCTCACATTGCATTAGACAAAACTAGTTAAATGGCCAAGCCAAAGTCATTTGGGCAGGGAAATAGATTCTGTCTAGAGAGAAGCATGCTTAGAATGGGACATTTAATTGTGAATTAATTAATATTTGAAGGCTGAAAAGTTGACAGCCTGTGTTATGTGATGTTTTAATGTTTCGTAAAACTATCAGTTCCAATAACTTAAGAGACAGAAAATGTAACTAAAGAATTTGTGACTTTGCATGCTCTGCCTGCCAAAAGGGTCAGATTGGTTTTTTTTATTATTTTTTTATTTTTTGAGACGGAGTCTCACTCTGTTGCCCAGGTTGGAGTGCAATAGCGCGGTCTTGGCTCACTGAAACCTCCTCCGCCTCCCAGGTTCAAGTGCTTCTCCTGCCTCAGCCTTGCTAGTAGCTGGGATTACAGGTGCACGCCACCATGCCCAGCTAATTTTTGTAATTTTAGTAGAGATGGAGTTTTGCCATGTTGGCCAGGCTGGTCTCAAGTTCCTGACCTCAAGGGATCCACCTACCTTGGCCTCCCAGAGTGCTGGGATTACTGGCATGAGTCACTGCGCCCAGCGCAAAAGGGTCAGATTTTTTCAGATTGGCTATATTCTCTATGTCTTCTCATTCAGGGACCCAGGTTAACAAAGTACTGGTATCCAGAACATGTTAATCTCATAGTAGAAGACAGAAGTGAGAGAAGCTGCCTGACCCTACAAGCACATTTAAAGCTCTGTTAGGATGTGGCTTATATCACATGCTTACATTCCAGAGAAAGTCACATAGCTTGACAATGGAGTGAAGACATATACTCTACCTCGGAGAGGCATGAGAGGAGGCATGGAGAAAATATAATCTAGCAGAAAATTGGAATTAGAATCTACCGTATTGTATTTAAGGGAATCTAATGGTAATGTTACACATGGAGATCACCTCATTTCGTCTTTTATTTATTTATTTTTTTTGAGATGGAATCTCGCTTTGTCGCTGCCCAGGCTGGAGTGCAATGGTGCGATCTCTGCTCACTGCAACCTCTACCTCCTGGGCTCAAGCAGTTCTCCTGCCTCACCCTCCCTAGTAGCTGGGATTACAGGTGCCCGCCACCATGCCCAGCTAAATTTTGTATTTTTAGTAGAGATGGGGTTTAGCCATGTTGGCCAGACCTCAAATGACCCACCCACCTCAGCCTTCCAGAGTGACAGGATTACAGGTGTGAGCCACGGCTCCTGGCCTTTTTTTTTTTTTCAATAAAAAGATTACCAGTGTTCACTTTTAATAAACACATTACCAGAGCAGTTGTGACAAAAACGGAAACAAAACACACACATTTTTTAGGCTTTTAAAATAGAGGCATATAGAAAAGTAAATAGAAAATGGTTTGTAATTCTAGTGTCCAGATTACCTTTGTTAAACTTAAAAAATAAAATTGAAAAAGTAATACACATTAAGTTGGTCAGAGATGCAAACAAAGATTTAAAAAATGCATTTCTAGAAATCTAAAAAATTAAAAGGAAAGCTGCCTTTTTCCAGATCTCTCTCAGCAAAGGTAACCACCACTGGCAGCTTATTGTGGTTTATTATGGTTTCTTCTAAAAAAGAAAAGAAAAACTTATGCCAAAGAAGCTTATATTTATAAAAATGTATTTTTATTTGTACAGATGTGATACCTACTTTTCCATTATAGTACTTTTGAGTGTGACTGATTCACTAGTCACAAAGGTAATTGGTTTTCTTGTCCCATTTTTTTTCCTTTCAGCTGGTGTCCGAATGATCTACCCAGCATGCTTTGTTCTAGTCCCTCAGTCAGACATTCCTACTCCTAGCCCTGTGGGATCTACTCACTGTTCATCTTCTTGCTTGGGTGTCCACCAAGTGCCTGCTTCCACAAGAGATCCTGCTATGTCTTCAGTTACGCTTACACCACCTACATCTCCTGAGGAAGTCCAAACAGGTATAGTAGTAATTTGTCTCATCAGCTCTGGTAATGTGTTACTTTGTGTATAGTAAGTACTTAAGAAATAATTTATTTTGAAATAGTTTCAAACTTCTTGGGAAGTTACAAGCATAGTACAAGTAATTTCCTTAGCCAGATTTCCAAACTGTTGTTATTTACTCCTTTACCCTCTCTGTATATATGTACATTCATTATCATTGGTCTTTTTCTGAACCATTTGAGAACAGGCTACAGATGTGATGTCCCATCACTCCTGTGTACTCAGTGTATTTCCCAAAATTAAGGACACTCTCCTATACAACTGTTATTCAGTCCTCTTAGTCAGAAAATCAGTGTTGATACACTGCCATCCAGTTTGCATTCCCTGTTTTAGATATTTTGCTTTCTGTATTTAAAAGTAGCGTGCTTTTATTTTTAAAGATTTGTGTGTTTATAATTAAAATTTACTCCAACAGAGCAGCCCATTGCTGTGTTCTAATTCTTAGCACCTACGTCCTACAAAAATAAACCCAAGCTTTTATAGTAACTGTCAATACAGAATTAAGCATTTTAGCTATTAAAAACGGTTTAGTTACCAAGGTGCTTATTTTCAGCAAAATGCCCTGTCACTCAGAAGGACATATGCATATGCTAAAGTTCTGACCCATCGATTGAGGCAACAGGTTTATATCCCTGCCCTCCCTCCATCTACCTTTAAAACAAAACACAGAAGAACTTTTTACAATGGAGGATAAACATACAGAAACACAGAAGAGCTTTTTACAATGGAGGGGAAATATGCTTATGCTCAGCTGACCTTACAAAAAAGACTGTCTGATTTCCAACTAAATGAGAACACCAAAGTGTTTGGCTAGAGTCCAGCAGTCATTGACTGACCCAGGTCAGAGGCTGGCAGGGACAGAAGGGCCAGAGTGCTGCCGCTGTAGGGGCTCATTCTGGGCTCCATACCCCACCTTGATGTGGAAGTCAGGCTCTGTGCAGCAGCTCCATGGCTGGTGTCCAGGGACCCTTCACACTACTCCTGAGTCCTTCCAGTCTACCCACCTCTGGCCAGCCCCCAACCTTGATGATGTCACTGGGCATCAGGGTAGTCTGGTTTGCTTATACAGCATGATCCATGGACACCTCCTTCCTCGCCCTCAGCCCACCTCCCTCCACACACCACCCTGTGCTGGCCCTGCCTGGCTCCTGAGAACCCCGCTCTTGGCACTGAGAGTGCTAGGTTACAGAGATGTACTTGACTGCCACATTTGCCTAATGAGATCTGGTTCCAAAAAGTAGCGTGCTTTTTGTCTCAAAATACAAATAATTTTACCAGATAGCTGGAGCAGCTTGTATCACAAATTAATAAAAAACCCAAATAATGTTACTTTAAACCTACCTTTATTCTCCTACAGCCTGTTTTTTTGTTTTGTTTTCAGTTGATCCTCAGTCTGCCCAGAAGTGGGTCAAATTTTCTTCAGTATCTGATGGCTTCAACTCCGATAGTACTAGCCACCATGGTGGGAAAATACCCAGAAAATTAGCAAATCATGTGGTGGATAGAGTTTGGCAAGAATGCAATATGAACAGAGCACAGAACAAGTGTGTATTTTCATTTATAAGTTCAAAAATTGCATGTTGATAATTACTTATAATTAGAAGATATCTAAAGTATAAACCGTCATTTATTTGATTTTTCTTTAACTCATAACGTTGATCTTTAAAATTAATTTTAATGGTACATTGAGGTTTAATGGAAAATTTTATGAATTCTAAAGAATTTTGTAACTTTAAATCTTAGGAGGAAGTATTCTGCTTCATCAGGTGGTCTGTGCGAAGAAGTGACAGCTGCTAAAGTGGCATCCTGGGACTTTGTTGAAGCCACACAAAGAACAAATTGCAGTTGTTTGAGGTAGATTATTTCCTGATCAATTGATGCCTATGTGTGATAGTTTCTTATGCCACTGAATGCTTATGCCCACTTTATTTGAGATAGCTTACATGAACATGATAATAGGATTTTTTTCAAAAGAAAATTCAAGAAAAAGATTTCAGGAATTTGAGGCTGATTATAGAAATACATGTAGATATAATCCTTCAGTTCATTCACTGTTACCAGAGGCGGACTCTGAAAGTTTTGTTTCCTAGTGGCTAAATAAAATACTATTTTATATGGGGCTATGGTATATATAGCATCTATAAGATATAAAAGGCATATAAGTCTCGTGAGAAAAGCATTCCTTCCTCAATGGCACTGCCTGAGAAATTTCTCCCAAAAGTTCTTTTTTAAAAAATAAAGAGACAGGGTCTTGGTTTGTTGCCCAGGCTGGAGTAATCATGGCTCTCTGCAGCCTCAAACTCCTGGCCTCAGGCGATCCTCCTGCCCCAGCCTCCCAAATAGATAGGATTACAGGCTTGTGCCACCACATCTGGCTAATTAAAAGAAAAAAAAAAATTTGTGGAGAGGGGATCTTGGTATATTGTCCAGACTGGTTTTGAACTCCTAGCCTCAAAACAGTCCTCCCCTTGGTTTTCCAAAGTGCTAGGATTACAGGTGTGAGCCACCATACCTGGCCTACAGTCTTTTTTTTTTTTTTTTTTTTTTTTGAGATGGAGTCTTGCTCTTTCTCCTGGGCTGGAGTGCAGTGACGCGATCTCAGCTCACTGCAAGCTCCACCTCCCAGGTTCACGCCATTCTCCTGCCTCAGCCACCGTAAAGTAGGAGTAGTTGGGACTACAGGCACACGCCACCATGCCCAGCTAATTTTTTTTAATTATTATTCTTAATGTATTTTTAGTAGAGACAGGGTTTCACTGTGTCAGCCAGGATGGTCTGGATCTCCTGACCTCATGATACAATCTTTTTTTAATAGCAAATACAGCGTTGGGTTTTGAAGAGTACATTCTTTTCTTTTTTTTTTTTTTAAGCTTTTATTTTTGGTTCAGGGTTACGTGTGCAGGTTTGTGAAATAGGTAAACTCATGTCACAGGGATTTGCTGTGTAGATTATTTTGTCACTCAGATACTAAGCCTAGTACCCAGTAGTTACTTTTTCTGCTCCTGTCCCTCCTCCCAGCCTCTACCCTGAAGTAGACCCCAGTGTCTGTTGGACCCTTCTTGCTGTCCATGAGTTATCATCATTTAGCTACCACTTATAGGTGAGAACAGGCAGTAGTTGGCTTTCTGTTCCTGTGCTAAGGATGATGACCTCCAGCTTCATCCATGTTCCTGCAGATGACATGATCTCGTTCTTTTTTATGGCTGTACAGTATTCCATGGTGTGTACGTACCACATTTTCTTTATCCAGTCTGTCATTGATGGGCACTTATGTTGATTCTGCGTCTTTGCTGTTGTGAATAGTGCTGCAGTGAACATTTGTGTATATGTGTCTTTGTGGTAGAATGAGTTATATTCCCTGGTTATATAACCAGTAATGGGATTGCTGGGTCAGATGGTAGTTGTAGCTCTTTGAGGAATCACCACACTGCTTTCCACAATGGTTGAACTGTTTTCACTCCCACCAACAGTGTATAAATGTTCCCTTCTCAATCTCGCCAGCGTCTGTTACTTTTTGACTTTTTAATAATAGCCATTCTGACTGGTGTGAGATGTTATCTCATTATGGTTTTGATTTGCATTTCTCTAATGATCGGTGATGTTGAGCTTTTTTACATATGCATGTTGGCTGCACATATATCTTCTTTTGAAAAGTGTTCATGTCCTTTGCCCACTTTTTAATAGGATTATTTTTTCTTATAAATTTAAGTTTTTTTAGATACTGGATATTAGACATTTGTCAGCACAGTTTGCAAAACTTTTCTCCTGTTATGTAGGTTATCTGTTTAGTCTGTTGATAATTTCTGTTGCTGTGCAACTGCTCTTTAGTTTAATTAGATCCCATTTGTCAATTTTTGCTTTTGTTGTGATTGCTTTTGCCATCTTTGTCATGAAATTTTTGCCCATTTCTGTGTCCAGAATGGTATTGTGTGGGTTGTCTCCCAGGGTTTTTACAGTTTTGGGTTTTACATTTAAGTCTTTAATTCATCTTGAGTTGATGTTTGTGTATTGTGTAAGGAAGTGGTTTGGTTTCAGTCATCGGCATATGACTAGCCAGTTATACCAGCACCATTTATTGAATAGGGAGTCCTTTCCTCATTGCTTGTTTTTGTGAGTTTTGTCAAAGATCAGATGGTTGTGGCAGTGCATCCTTGTTTCTGGGCTCTCTATTCTGTTTCATTGGTCTGTGTGTCTGTTTTAGTATCAGTACCATGCTGTTTTGGTAACTGTAGTCCTGTAGTACCATTTAAGCAAGGTAACATGATGCCTCCAGCATTCTTCTTTTTGCTTAGGATTGCCTTGGCTATTTGGGCTGTTTTTGTATTTCATACAAATTTTAAAATAGTTTTTCCTAGTTCTGTGAAGAATGTCATTGGTAGTTTGATAACATTGAATCCAAATTGCTTTGGGCAGTATGGCCATTTGAAGGATATTGATTCTTTCTATCCATGAGCATGGAATGTTTTTCTGTTTTTTTGCATCATTTCTGGTTTCTTTGAGCAGTGTTTTGTAATTCTCATTGTAGAGCTCTTTAACCCCTCTGATTAACTGTATTCCCAGTTACTTTACTCTTTTTGTGGCAGATGTGAATGGGATTGCATTTCTGATTTGGCTCTCAGCTTGGTTGTTGTTGGTATATAGGGATGCTAGTGATTTTTGTACAGTGATTTTGTATCCTGAAATTTTACTGAAGTTGTCTATCAGTTGAAGGAGCTTTTGGGCTGAGACTGGGGTTTTCCAGGTTTAGAATCATGTTGTCTGTCAACAGGGATAGTTTCGCTTCCTTCCTTTCTATTTGAATGCCCTTTATTTTTTTCTCCCCGATTCTTCTGGCCAGGACTTCCACTACTATTATGAATAGGAGTGAGAGGGGGCATTCTTATCTTGTGCCACTTTTCAAGGGAAATGCTTCCAGCTACAATCTTTTTTTTTAAAATGGTAAATACAGTGCTGGGTTTTGTGGAGTTATTTCTGATAACATTCTTTGGGCAGCTATAAGTGAAATGTTGAAGTAAGGTTCAGAAAATAGGATTCTATAAGGGAAAAACTTAAAAGGGAGCAGAACTGTCAAAGCATGACAAAACCATCAAGCTTTCCAATGGACTATATTGGTTGAATGATTAGTAGAAGAATAGATGAATGTGGAATTCTTTAGAAATGTATTTAGTTTATATATTAAGGCCTTATGATAAGATTTGGTTATGAGAAGTTTTAAAATTATGTTGCCTAGAGTTTATGATTTTATCCTGCAGATTAAACATAGATCATAGGCTTTTGCAGTCAAGTAAACAATAATGGTCTTGACATCCCTAGTCAGAACTTGTGATGGAATAGATGGTCACCTGTCTTTCTCATGGAAGTGAACCAAAGAAATGGAGTGCCTGCAGGTTAGGGCCAAGGTTTTTCTACATTTGCGCTGTTGGTTTGAATATATAATAACAGAGTCTCTCACATGTGCTGTTATGTTTTTGCATAAATTGAATATTCTTATATTGCATAAGAATTCTTACTTTGCATTTATTGAATAATTCTCTTTGGATTAAAGAATATGTAATTTTTTAAAGTCTGGCAACTTTGTTGAAAATTTACCTCTGTTAGAGAGATTGGAATAAAAACAAAGATATATTTAGCTATTGTTTAGCAGTTTAAAATAGCTAAAAAACCACACCTAAACTTGAACATAATTTGTATAAGAATGAGGGTCAGCAAAGGGTAATGAATTGGCCATGTTTGGCCCACTGCCTATTTTGTATGGCCTGTAAGCTGAAAATGATTTTTTTTAATTTGTTTGAGACGATGTCTCGCAGACGGGAGTGCAGTGGTGCGATCTGAGCTCACTGCACCCTCGCCTCCCGGGTTCAAGCAGTTCTCCTGCCTCAGCCTCCCGAATAGCCAGGACTACAGGCACAGGCCACCACGCCTGGCTAATTTTTTGTATTTTTTAGTGGAGACGGGGTTTCACCATGTTGGCCCATCTGGTCTCAAACTGCTGACCTCAGGTGATCCATCTGCCTTGGCCTCCCAAAGTATTGGGATTACAGGTTTAAGCCACCATGCCTGGGCCAACTGAAAATGATTTTTACATTTTTTTAAAAGTTGAAAAAAATAAAGAATGTTTTATGGTATAGGAAGGTTGTGTGAAATTCAGATTTCAGTACTGATAAATGGATTTATTAGAACACAGCCACGTTCATTTATTTACATATTGTCTGTGGTCGCTTTTGCCCCACAGTGGCAGAGTTGAGTAGTTGTGACACAGACTGGCCCCCAGGGGATAAAATATTTACTCTCTGGTTCCCTACAGAAAAAGTTTGCTAATCCCTGGTCTAAGACCAAAAGAATGCTTAAATGAAATTAGGCTTTTCCAGAACTACCATTCGACCGAGCAATCCTATTACTGGATATATATACCCAGAGGAATATAAAGCATTCTGTCGTAAAGACACATGCATGGGAATGTTCATTGTAGCACTGTTCACAATAGCAAAGACGTGGAATCAACCTAAGTGCTCATCAATGACAGATTGGATAAATAAAATGTGCATGTACACCATGGAATGCCGTGCAGCCATAAAAAAGAATGAGATCATGTCTTCTGCAGAAATATGAATGGAGCTGGAGGTCATTTTCCTTAGCAAACTAATGCAGAAACTGAAAATTAAATATTGCATGTTCTCACTTATAAGTGGGAGCTAAATGATGAGAATACATGGACACACAGAGGAGAACAACAGACACTGGGGTCCAGTGGAGGCTGGGAGGAGGGAGAGGAGCAGAAAAAATAACTGTTGGATACTAGGCCTTTAATACCTGTGTAATGAAATAATCTGTAAACAAAGCCCCATGACATGAGT